TTGAATTGTAGACATCGTGTTGGAGATGGTACCTTTGGTTTCCATAACACTACGTCCAAGTAAAATTAACAGGAGCCGTATTTGCTCCTGTGTGCCTCTGGTCTCGTATAAACAATGACTGTTTAACTCTCCATACAATTGACGTTACTGGCCGACATTGTCCAGAATGATAGGAGCCGATTTGCTCCACACGTCTCGGAGGTGACACAACAATGGCTCCCTCCTTCCCCACTCACTGACGCCTGGCCTACTTTGTCCAGATTTCAGAAAGTGATAGAAGGGTCACATTTACTCTACTTTAATATTTATAATTAAGTTAATTTATATAAGATGTTTTATGATGGTAAAGTCCAAAGACTAATGTATTTAAGAATAATTCCCACCATAATAGGTGGTGAATTATAATAGTATGTGGTGATGATATCCCGTTTTCTTTAGACGGTAATTCCTCTACAAGTTACGTTTTCTATGGGTAACTTGTTGGTAATACAGTTATTATCTGTATGATTATTAAATGGTGTCGGATTTTCCGACACGTTCTGTGCTTCCTTGTTAGGGCAGGGTCTCAGGCTATGGTTTGTTATCAAATGTTATCATGTGTAATGCTATCAGGCGTGCTGTTATCAGGTGTGCTGACAAAAGTAGTCTGGGTCCGAGGCGCATAAATTCGATTCTGGAGACTGCTAACGAAAACAAATATTCGCGGAGGCTTTGTATTGGTTGATTACTGACCAATGAAAAGAGGCTGCCAGAATGCCGCGCGCTCTCGGACCTCAGGAAGAACAGAGGTTCCCGCGCCTGCTGGCAAGGTGTAGTGACGGAAGCCTCATTACATATTATTCATTAATATTTTGTTGAATCTCTGCCAAAGAAATCAGATTATCACATCATTACTTTTGTTGATGACGATGATACCAAATACCAGACATACCAAACGTATACGAAACCGTTAAACTGTCTTTAACGGTTTCATTATTAACGCTATTCAAATATTTTTAATAACGTTTTAGACAGGTGTGAGAACCTAAGCCTAGTCGTCCAAATGTGCGAAAGGTGTTATTAAAATACAACTGCATGATGACTCTCAGCTTCATTATGTATTTAAATTAAAGAAACCTTGTCCATGATGTATCACTATACTCCTAGTACTGTACTAAGTGAGTACGGTACTTCTAATCCATGTATAATCCATGTAATCCACGTAAGTGACGCTGCCTGAAGTCCAAGTGTTGCAACAGAATGATTGATTTGATTGTTACCGCCGAAGGCGGCTAGTTTATTGTGCACCCCATACTCATCCTGTGAGCGGTAGCGCAAAAGCATTACAGAGGGCAGTAAACAACAATCCTGTCTTGAGTTGAGGGTTCTATATATGTGACTTGGTCTCTACCTTTCAGTCAGCGCTGTTTGCCATACTAGTCAGGTTATCATGAGATGATTTCGGGGCTTAGCGTCCCCGTGGTCCTCGACCAGGCCTCCTTTTTGTTACATCCCCCCCCCCAGGAAGCAGCCCGTAGCAGATGTCTAACTGATCTGTTTAGTTAGTACCTATTTACTGCTAGGTAACAGGGGGCATCAGGGTTAAAGAAATATTTTGCCCATTTGTCTCCGCCATTACCGGAGATCGCACCCGGAACCTCAGGACTACGAATCCGAAGCGCTGTCCACTCAGCTGCCAGGTGCCTGTCAATGATGTAACTTGTTCAGCTAAACGAATGTTGGGGTCTTTCTTCTCTATGTAACCTTTCCAGAACTAAACTAAACCAACTTCTAACACTCCTTCTATCATCTAACACATTTACGAACATCTAACATGCACTAACATACATTTACACACTACTTTACACACTTGACATACATTTACACCACCACGAGAGCTCAAACATGCAAATTGATCAAGCTACTTTAAGCTTATCTCCTTCCATTGAATACCTTCCGGTTGGTAGGTCAGTGTGCTCTCCATTACACGTTTAGAGGGCAGCTGAGCGAGGGTTGTGAAGCTGCTTTCTTTTTGCCAATTGTTCCTTTCCATTGGGATGAGTCCTGCGATCTTGTTAGCTCTATCCCCCCAGCTGGAGAATGACAGAATGGTAGACATAGTGGATCAGAAGTTTATTGTAGCTATAAAGCGCCATTGATATTGCTAGGTGTACTACGATACAACCAGATGCGTTTGTTTATGATGACTAAATTTGTCCTTACCGTACCTATAGGTTCATGGTTCCCATTCCCTCGGTAGTACAACTTAACGCTCAGCCTGCGGTCACAAATCTAGACTAGCCTCGGTGCTAGACGATTCACGGGTGCTAGGCTAGTCGTGGGTACAGATATAGGCAGAGTGTTGGCTCGCTCCTATCTCCCTCCCGTATTCTCACCTGCCAGAATGGCAAGAAACTCACCAAACATACAATAGACCCACTGAACACCCTCCCACGCATACACAGATGAAGCAGATGGATACTTCCTGGCCTCCTGCTGCTGCTGCTGCTGCAGTTGAAGCGGACATCATTGGGAGATGTGGGTGGTCGTCAACCACCATAACGGCACTCAGTGTGTGATGGATCTTTCCCCGTAAAGGTCCTTTGATCTTGTTGCCGACTGATCTGGACATTGTACCGTACTGAGCCAACGTCCCTCTATCCCACACTGTTCTTCTATCCTAGCTCTACGTTGTAAATTTAACGACCATAAGTAGAATGAGGCAACGAAATGCACTTTTTATTTAAGGAGTAAGTTAGTAAACATGCGAGGGCATAATTATAGCTGCAACTCTGCATGCCACCTTCACTGCCAACCGACTTCCCGTAGTTGGCACACTAACTTTTACAATGTCCAAGACCGTGCTTTGTGCGTCACGGCCTCCCTTCACTGAGGCGTCACTGGCTTCCTAACTGCTATTCCCCTCCCAAACCCCTATTGAAACACCGCTTAAGAGCGCGTACTTCCCCTATTGACGTACAATTTGCGTCATGAGGATTTGGTTCCTGAGCCATTATGTGCCTATGTAACCTTCTCATATATGATAGGTATGGAGTGGGTCCTGTAGCCGTCGGGTCTCTACCCAAAGGTCCAGCGTTCGCTTCTCGCACAGGGAGCTGACAAAATTGTCTTGCACCTCGTGCCTCTTTTTAAATTTGCAAAAAAAATATAGGCACCCGGGAATTAGGCACCTGTTGTGGGTTGGATCCTGGGGGCAACTTCAAACTAAAAGCTTCCTGTCCTCAAAAGTACGAAACCGTACTTAGCACGCTGCCTCCTCATCGTTGAAGCACTGCTGGCTGGGTTGCAACCCATCCTCCGAATTGACAGTACGTTTTAATACTAAGTGTAATAAGTACATTTCCTGACTGTCATACATAGTACATAATTGCACTTATGGGGCTTTTACATTTACCTCCCACATTTAATTAGCCTCGTTTTCTGTTAAGACACTCAGAATTTTAGGATAAAATTTTAAAGTTCAGCTGGCTAGTGACGGCATAATTAACTATGCTCCACACACATGGGAGCACCTCTTGCTTCGTTAGTGTACTGCTCACACCTCTCCTCACCCTCAGTGAACAACCACTGAGGATAAGGAGTCACATAGCCCAAGTAATTAGTAAGTAATTATCAGAATAAGGCGTGACCCCCGTGTATAATAATAATTCGTTTTGTCAGGGACAGGAAGCCTGTGTATGATGATAATATATACTTTAGTTTGTATCGAATCCCTTCCCCCCCCCCCCTCCAACGAAGGTCAAACTACGGACCCTACCTAGGATCCAACCTCACATTACAGTTGTCTAACTACCAGGTAGCAATTTACTGTTAGTTAAACAGAGGCATTAGGTGAAAGGAAATGCGCGTGAGGCATTTAAATAGCATGACGGGCTCAGCGCCCCCCTCCCTCCCATCTAATAATTATAACCTACCTCAACTAGCGCCTCTTCCACCCAACAACAACCTACCTTAACCACTATATATATACTTTCCACTTTATAAACGTGGGATCACCATACATTTGAAACTTCTGCCTCAGAGAAGTAAATAAAGAGTATTCAGAGACCTTGTGGATTCTCACTGAACACTTTAATATTTTCTTTTTCTACCATTCCTATTTTTTTTATTAACTATATTACAGACGCACACGTGTAGTCCCACACGACCTGTCTACCATTCCTCAATGGGTGTAATATATATATATATATATATATATATATATATATATATATATATATATATATATATATATATATATATATATATTCATCAACTTCATATAGCATTACATATATGACATTCCACCTTTTAAATGTATTCTCTTTCAGATATACACGAATGATTACTTATTCGTTTATAAATAACAAATGGAGGCATTGTGGCAAACCGGAAACTATAAATAAACCGGAAGAAGACGATCAATGTCGCTGAGGTCACGTCCGTCTTGATGGGTTACCCTGGTGACCACCTGCTCCCTATGTTCCTGCTGACCTATATTGCCGCCAGCCGACACTATAGTGTGCTATTGACCATATATCGACCTTGATTCCTCATAAGATTAAAGCTGCTGCTGGCGGCGCGTCAATGAATTGTGAAACATCGATTTGCTGATCAGAAGCTGCTGTTGCCACTCTTTTATGGCGATTGTTGCCTTTAGATTTGGTTATAATAGGTGTGCGGTGTGATGTATGACCGCGGGCGTTATCAGCTGGCAACATAGAGCATGAGTAATAACGCGTAGTAGCCTTCAACCTGCGTTATCACCACAATATATTACCTCTTACACTATCCACACACACACAGCATTGCCACCAGGCCCTCTCGACCACTTCTCTCTCCCACAGTTTAATAAAATATAAAACCGAAATTAGTAGAGGTATCATTTTTACCCACATACCGTCACGGGCTACGTACGGCACGTAATGAAATCCCCAGAAGGAGGGCTAGATTAAGGTACGAAGAAATAGGGGGAAATTGAAGATGTGGCGTAGGGTGCGACACAGGGGGAGCGAGGCACCTCCACACACACAGCCTTCAGCGGCCCGTCAGTTAAGATGGCGACGGTGATGCAGAGGCAGCGCTCGCGCAGAAAACTGGCTGCTCTCACCTTCCTCTCCAACATCTCGCTGGATGGCACACACCGAGACACCAAGCTGTCACAATATGGCCGAGGGGGCTTCTTGGGGAAGACGCCGGCGGAGCTGAGGGCGGACGTCCAGGGGGACCGGAACGACAAGGAGAACCAAGTGGTGTCGCCCCAGAGGCAGGCGGACCCCACCACGGCCTCTTCCTGCTTCCCCGACGGCCACATCCTCGTTGGGGAGGCTCCTGACGCCCCTCAGCCGGATAGACAGTTGGCTATACAGTTCCGTGACAGGTGAGAGACGGGTGCTGTCATCCCGCGAGCTGTCAAGGTGTCTAAGACACGGGGTCAAGGGGACCACAGCAAAACACAGCCTTGAAGGTGTAGTTTTTTTTTTGTTTTTTACCTGTCCAAATTGTCAGTCTTGATGTTATCGCAAATTGGGTGGACAGGCTCGTACGAATGACTTCAGTTTTGTCCTGAAATAACCACGAAGTACCAGAATGAATTGTCCTGTCCGAGTGATTCCTGTCCGTATTCAAATGACATGTAGAAATTTGTTAGCCAATATAAGAAAGTGGCTTCATGGGTTTTGTCATCACTTAACTTTCTGATGGGGAAATTATCCTTATGAACTATCTGCAGAGTTTCTTTTATCCTGATGCTTCTGTTCACCTAGTAGTAAGTAGGTACCTGGGAGTTAGACAGCTGCTACGGGCTGCTTCCTGGTTATGTATTAGAAAATGGAGGCCTGGTCGAGGACCAGGCCACGGGACGCTAAGCCCCGAAATCATCTCGAGATAACCTCAAGATAACAGGAGAAACGGTGCTCATTACTGTCAGTTGCCATCAATGGCAGGAGATGTTTAGGAATGTTTTCTTACATCTGCCTATACAGTGTAGTCATACTGGAGGGGGGTGTTAGTTTCCGACACGAGACAATTCGATTAAGTTCATTTCCCGTTTGTTAAAGCCATGTATATTGCTATGCTAGGATGTATTAGCTTATCTTAGACTATTTTGCTCTGGTTGGTTAGGTTTGGTTAAGTTGAGTTGGGTTAGGTTGAGCTAGATTGTTAGGTTTCAAAATCCGTTGGCAAATCGTCTTGTGTACCTTGTGACCTGTATCCATACTGGCTTAACACTTCCTCCTGATAATTACCTTACATTCCTTACATCTGATCCCTCTATTCACTTGCAGTAAATAGAAATCCAGGAGATGGGCAATTGTTGTGGGTTGCATCCCAAGAAACATGCAATCCACAGAAAAAAAAAAAAAGTCCTGCTAGTACAGTCATGTTTGTTCTCAACTCACAATTGAGAATTCCAGGTTCGAATCCCAGGCGAGCCAGAAATGGTTGGGCGTTTCCTATCACCTAATGCCTGTTAGTCAGTTTGTAGGAGTTGCATCCTGGGGAAGGTCAGTAAATTAACCCTAGAGGAGACCTCAATATAAGCCTAACATGTACTGTTATATATAAACTAGCTGCCTGTCACCTGTCACAATGAATTAATATTATTATTGTTTAGGTTAGTCACTGACCTTGGTACTGGCTAAAATGCTGTGCATAATTAGTGATTTTTATAAAATGTACAAATAATGTATCTACTAAATAACCAATCGACTTGATAATGGTCCAGGACGAACCGAAACGTTGTCTCCTCGTCTTCTGGTGTGTGGTTTAGTTCTCATATCTTCAAGCCACATTATTGTGACTCATTGTCTGCATACTAAATGCTCCCCACTCGACCATTAACGCTAGGAGTGCCACAGGGCAGCATCCTAGGACCTCTCCTATTTCTTATATACAGTACATCAGTGATCTGCCTAATGTCTCTAACATAGTTAAACCTATACTATTTGCTGACAATACATACTATTTTCATCTACTCGGACCCCAACCCACACACACTAAATAATGTTGTAAATAACAAATTAAAAAAGGTCCACTCATGACAACCAACAAACTCACTAAACCTAGAAAAGACCTAATACATTTTATTTGACAGGAAATCAACAAATGCAATTCAGCTTCAGATAGACGATGTTAACATCAGCAATAAAAATGATTGAAAGTTCCTTGGCCTATATGTAGACAAGAGACTCAACTTCAGCACCCACATAAAAACACAAAACTAAAAAAAAAAAAAAAAAAAAAAAAAAAAAAAAAAAAGTACAGTATATTTTCCAAAATCAGATATTATGTTCCAAACTTTGCTCTCCTTTCATTATACTATGCACTAATCTATCCCTATCTGCTTTCAGAACAATAACAAACTCTGTTTTCAGACAACATACAGCCCCCCTCCCTGTTTAAATCCCTAAACATGCTAAACACAAACTCAATCCACACATTCTCTTTTACCATTTACATGTACAAAACCTTGTTCCTAGATGCAAATCCTGATCTGAAACTCTTTCTTGACAGATGTAATAGAACCTATAATCACCACAACAGAAATAAATATCTCTGATATCCCCAGAGTCAAACTAAATCTGTGTAAGTACACTATGCAAATAAAGGGACCTACTCTATGGAACTCGCGTCCTAATGAATTAAAAAACAGTCTAACCTACACCTTATTCAAAAGTAAAACCAGAAAGTACCTAATTTCATCCTCATAGTTTCCTACCTAGTGCTTCAAACTCACCCTGTATCTTGTGCTACCCACTCCCCTAAAATATATGTCTTAAGCTATACAACTTCACAGTTGTAATTACTTCTACAGTATCATCTTGTATCATGGTTGTAATGTTGAATGAAATTTTTACTACAATGTACCTAGAAATAATCCTCAAATTATGCTACAATGTACCTGTTGATTATCCTCAGATTTTACTTTAATGTACCTATTAATTTTCTTCAAATGTTCTTACAATGTACCTATTAATGTTTTTAAATTTTGCTACAAATTACATACAGTACTTAAATTTATCTTTTAGGCTCAGGACCTGCTCGAAACGCTATGCGTGTTAGTGGCTTCACACAGCCTTTCCTCGTAACTCATACCTCTTAATTCTGGAACTAGTGTAGTAGCATACCATTGAACCTTCTCTAACTTCACCTTATGCTTCCTAGGTTATATCCTAGGGGAAGGTCATCAATTTTTCACCTAGGGGCCTTGATAAGCTTAAAAGGCTTCCTGTCCCTGATTACAGGAAATATGGTTATCCAAATAAATTATTATTATCCCTATTACTTTTATTATTATTATACAGTACACTATGGCCCAAATGTTTCCATATGTAATACATAGGGAAAATTATCTTTTAACTGTGTAACTTTAATTTTTTAAATATGCTCTACATACACACCGTGTTCTTATTTAGCTTACCGCAATCCGCTTGATGCTTACCCGCAGGGACACTTGAAAACTATGGTGTTCTGGGAAAGGTACAAAACATGAATTGCCTAAATGAATGCATTCAAAATGCAGTTATGCACATAACACCAGATGTGTTAAGGCAAGTTCACCATGAGTGGGAAAGTCACATCCGTATGTATTTTCAAAGTACAGTAATAGCAATCATGTAGAGCATGTTTTATGAATGAAGTTGCACTTTGCTAAAAGGTTAATTTCATTCATATGTACATGATTTCATTCATATGTACATGTATTTATTCATATGTGCATGTATTCATTCATATATACATGTATTCATACATACAAACATAACTATTGTACTAAGAGTCGTGTAAAGCCAAGAGGTTGAAAGATTTTCTGATGTGTTCAATTAGGTTTTTAACTAACATCTTTAAGCCCCCTTTTTATTTTTCATGTAACTTGTTAGTTAGGTAATCTTAATATACATATTTTTGAAACTCGATTAAAATGTATAGTACTGTATTTATAAAGGTATTATTTTGATATACAGTATACCTGTAGTTAAATTTTCAAATGTATGCTATTTATTACACATACATTGAGGATTGTTAATACTGTACTTAAAATTATAAATATATACATAAATTTGTTACCCACTGCAGTATGTCTTTTTGAGAGATTGATTTCTTTGGAGCCAAATTATGAAAATTTCTTGAAACTTGATTTGTTGTGTATGAAACTGGCACTTATCAAATGATTATACAGTACTCGTTGGTTCAGGAAGTAATTCTTGCCTATCGTTTACACTCCACAGAATGTTTTCTGTAAAGTGTTTTAGAAGGTGAAAGCTATAGGCTGTGACCCTTAACAAGCCACGGGGCTTCATAGTTTCACCACTAAGAGATGGTGACCAACAGGTAAATACAGGATAGCATGGTATTGTCTTTTTGCCGATTATGCCTTGGTTTTTACTTATTTCTTAAAATAAAAGTTTGTATTTACTGACATTTGAGAAGTTGGGAATGGATAAATGCACCACTAAGATACTATACACTAGTTATTGATATAAGTGGTGTTGTATTGTGTTTGTATTTTCAAATCCCCAGTTGAGCCTCTTGTTTCTGTTTATTGCCATTGATGCTTTTGTTGCAGTATGCAAAATAATGCACAAACATTTTCTTGTTACAGGACCAATACTAACAATTCAGAACTTGGGGAGCGGGCTGGAGGATTGCGGAAGCGTACAGCACACCACCACCATCTGTCTTTGGTGGAGAAACCCCAATGCTTTAGTAGTAATGAAAGCTTAGGTGGTCCATTTCCCAGTAAGTATGCAAGACAAATTTGTTATACAATATTATGTACATAGATTTTTAATTTTTTTTTTTTAATTTCTGTAATTTCGGAAAGATTTTAAGAGTCCTTAAATAATATACATTTTTTTTATCTGACAAATAGTTGAACCTTGTATAGTCTTGTTCAGTACTGTATAATGATTATTATTTATTTTTTTTACTTTTCATTCTTAGTAGTAGTAAGAATTTTCACTTTCATTTAGTAGCCTAAATTACAAAGGTCTAGCTTCTCAAACAGTTTGTACATGAACAGTTCATAACAAATTTAAGTGAGATTTGGCACTATAGGGGTTAAAGCTGTTATGAATTACCTTGGATCATATGCAGGCGATGAGTGGCAATAACGTGGCTAAAGTATGTTGACCAGACCACACACTAGAAGGTGAAGGGATGACGACGTTTTGATCCTTCCTGGACCATTCTCAAGTAGATTGTCTTGAGAATGGTCCAGAACGGACCGAAACGTCGTCGTCCCTTCACCTAATAGTGTGTGGTCTGGTCAACATACCTTGGATCAAATTGTGGTCATGAACAATGCTAATCCTTAACTAAGCATAACCACACTACAGCATACTTTATTCAGTGGCTAGTGCATAATAAAATTAAAGTCTTTTGAATGATTGTTTGGTGGTTATAACACCAATATTTTCTGGAGTTTTACCACTGTAGCATGTTTATAATACTGTACAACAAAGGTATGAGAAAACTGGAATTAACTAAACTATTTCTAAACTTGATACTGTATTCATCTACACTATAATCCAGCTTTGGTGGATATAGGCATGTGTTATGCTTGTGTAGATTAAGGAATATGTGCATACACAGGCACAAATATTATGCCTACCAGATTGAGGGAATCAGGAGTTATACCTACTTGGGTAAGGCAGACGGGCATATCCTAAACAAAGGAATTGAATTGGCTGTTCTTAAGACATGGCCAGTCTCCAGTAGTACGTGATACGACAATGAATTATGAACGTAATGAAAATCAGAGCATGTCTCCTTCACGTCTCTGAGCATGTCTAGCAACCTGACATATATAAGTATGGTCAGCAAGGCAGCGTTATTGACTTGGCCACTAAATCTGATATTGGCAAAACCAAGGTCAATGTAATTTTGTTAAGGAATATGAAACGTATAGAGTAACTATGTCTGGTAAACTTTCCAGATCACTATATACACAAGAGGTATTTCACATTGTTTATATACACTTAACCACTACATTGCACTCATGTTTATAGCTGCAAGCCCCTGGTGTGCAAGAAAAATATTCCCCCAATTTTCTTTCCTTCTAATACTGTATTGTTAAAATGCATTCCCTGATCATGGGGAAAACAAATGTGGCTTGCTTTGGTTGTGGTGAGCGAGGAAATCCCGAGATGTCATGGTTCTGGAGTATTTATGGAGCTCATAGACTCACACCGGGTCAGGTGTGAGTTGGGAGTTGCCACAAAGATATATTTTTACATGTCTACTGTACTGTTTATCAACATCGCGGAAATTATTATGTCGCCTTTTTCCGGTAATATTATGTAATACTCAGTAGTGAGTCATTTAAAATATATAATTGAATGCATTGAAATGCTCAAATATATTCGTGCCACTAATATGCGCACCAGATCGTATTCTTAGAATGGTAAAACACACTTGTTATTGCTTTTATTATGCTGTATACACACATTATATATACCAGTAACTAAATTTTCATTCACCATTACAAACCACAAGGCAGGTCTGGTGAGTATAATAATCTCATAACCAGTTATCAGAGTTTGACCTAGCCCTACCTCTTTTGCACAAAGTTGTAACAGCATACATTGAATATACTGTATTATATTTAATTTGTATTTTTAATGCATTTTTTTAAGTGCAATGATGCATTGAGCTGTCAATAATGTTATCTATATCACAGAACATGGACATAGGTACACACAAATGTATTCATATCCCTAATATACTCTCAATATTATATTCTGTGAACAATAAAGCATATAATTTGTGCTATTATTACACTGTATATACATGTTATATGTAACTATCAACATTTTTATGTACTATAGTGAACCACTAAGCTATTCTAGTGGGTGGGGTAATTCTGTAATCCAAGCACAGCATAGCACCACACGCTAGTCAGTTGCTGACTGCACCTGACTCGGCAAAATGTCTCACTATGCACATTGCTAGCTCTCACCACAACAATGTTATTGTTGTCAGAATACGTGTCACTAAATCCTGAATATGAATCATTTTCCACAAGTTTATTGTCTAAAGGCACACAAGGTCTCGTTTCATGTCCGTAGTTTCATGTACGTAGGCACACCAAACCACTGCTGTGTGCCCTGGATGTCTGCCTTCTCATGTGAACATTGTAACCATAGTTGGGTTCACTGATATTTGAACCTTGTACATAGTTTTTATCATAGGATCTTCTATGATACTATCATCATTAAGTAATCAGTTATTTATTTCATCATTATTAAATGGTGTGGGCATGAGCTGCATAGCAGTGCTGATAGCTGCTGCTGCTGCTGCTCTCAGTACCAAGGCATACACCCAGGAGGGGTGCCCATTATTTTTTTCCAAGGTGGTGTCTGTTTATTGGAAGCCTGAGGAAGCAGATGTGAGCCCTGTGTACCCACGGAAGTTTTAAATGTTACACAGTACTTTAGAACTTCCTTCGTTTTCCCGTGCAGTGAGATCATGAATGGCGAGAGCATCACTAATTGTGATGCACATTTGAAGGGTTGATGTAAATTGTACTCCTGTACTATGTTTAGGATAAAGGTATATTAACTGGTTGGTCAGGAAGCCATTATATTGGGCTTGAGCTTCAACATAGTCATCATTTGTCGATTTCCTAGACATAAATCAGGAAGCATCAGCAAAGTTGAACACCAGGTGTTGATAAGTGCCGGATACAGCCTTGCAGAGCGCCACCACCCAGTGAAACGCTAAATATTCACTTAGTTTTGTGTTTTTCTATATTCTGTATACAAATTAATAATCCTATAATGAAATTTTTAATTTTTTTAATTTTTTAAACAATTTTGTGCATAGTGTATGGTTATGTATTTTGTACATAAATGGGTATGACCATTTCTCCATAGCATCAAGGGCTGTCTAAGGGTTAAAGAAAACCTGTAGGAGCTGTGAGGAGGGTTCGAACCTATGCTTTGGTTACTCCCAAGCATAGGTTCGAATCCTACAGAGTTTTTCACTGATACTGTACATCAGGTTAATGTGATTGTGCAGTAGTATTAATGCGTGTTAGTAAGACATCTTCCTATACAGTACAGTACAATGTACAGTACAGTATTATATAGTAAAAAAGCCTTTTGTTTAAAGCATTTAATAAAATTTAACTTCTATAGCTGCTTATGTTACTTGAACTTCTGTCTTTTAGGCATTGGCGGAGGGCATATCAGAAAATTGTCTAGTAGTGTGTCTGAATCTTCGGGTCCACCAAGCAAGGAGGTCAAGTTTATGAAGAGAGCACACGATCTGCAGATTCGGGATGAGCGAGTTGTGTTGCTGTCGTCACACAAAATTCCTTTCTATATTTTCTCTGCCTTGCCGTACAACAAGTCTAAATTGGGAGGGTAAGGCAGAATCTTGAAAAAATTCCTCATCATAAGTTTAACTTCACTCTGTAATTAGGTAATTTTCTATCAAATTTTAGTTGAGTTGCAACAGATCGTGATAGAATAATAGTGAGAAAAAAAAGCTAAAATACATTCCCATTTAGCAGATTAGTAACAAACTAGGTTCAGTTGGTAGTGGTTGAGCTGCTGCTTTGAAGGTAATTGGTGCTCGGTGTGTGACTGCTTATCAAGAAATATATATATGTGACCATAATCATTTCCTTGACGTTTATCCAGGGTCATAGAGTAAACAAAAAATTCTGCTTTTCATGGTAGAGTTTATGTAAATTTAAGTAACCTACTTTGTGCAGTAAACATTTCCTGCATTTCAAATGTTATCTAAATTTTGCTTTGATTCCTCTACAAATGGTAATGCTGTATGTGTATTTCTATGTAAGTGCTTTATTTTTTAGAAAAGCTTTAATCAGTGTAATCTTTGTAGATATTATATACTACAGTACTACTTTTTGAAGAACTAATAAGCATGTGTTTTTGTTATTTTTAATTAAAATTCCATCCCCCCCGTTCCCTCCCTCATACAGACAGACAAACTGACAACTCGTCAGATTTGTATTTTCTCAGTTGTATTGGTAATTTATTCATATCAGTTTGTCTGACTTGAATTAAAGTTGCATGTGTGCATTCTGTGGCTGCCATAATTGTTATATTCATTTAGCAGTGGTACTACCACCAGCTAGAATACTAGGAATTTATGTTAAATATTTAGTACTCAAGTAGGTGTTAAAGGTAAATATAAATTTGGATGACCTAACTGGTAATGTTTAGAGTTTTCTAAGCAAAGTTCTAGTTACACAGGTATATTTGTGTTGTTGAGAGATTAACTATACCCATTTTTCACGGGCATTCCAGGCGAAATGATCATGGACGAGGCGAGAGCGGACGCAGACGTCATGCTTCAGGAAACCGAACGCTTTCCACAATTAGTGATAATGCAGATCCTTCTTATTTATTAGGCTTTGACCGCAGTGATGAATGTCGGGTAAGTAAGGTTGATGTTGTTCTGTGCTGCATTAATATACACATCTAGATGATGTGTTAGTGAAAAAAGCAGTTTTTATAATTACTACAGGAGACTATACTTGAAGATGGGTTTAAAGAATTGTGCAATATTGCTCACCTAAATGCTTATTATAAACATAAATTTGCAATTTTATATTACATCTTAAACTAGTGCCTTTATGTGCATTAAATATTATGCTTCTCTTTAACTGCTTGTCTTAGTTTCATATTTGTATTGGTATAAGGAATACAGGTAATGAATTGTCTTTTTAAATTGCAAATTTGCCATGCTGACTGCATTTTTCTCCTTGCTAATGTAATTGTCAGTTATGTAGTTAAAATATTTGCTTGTCATTTTGAAAGAACGAATGTGTGTGTAAAAAAAATAAATGCTTTATTTAAGATGTTTGGTTGTGTATATTTTATGAATATACCATTCACTATTTTGTTTTGTTACTGTTCAGCATACTGTAGAATTAGAAATTTGCATGTATAATTGAAATAAGGTAAACAAATTTGTCTATAATTGGCATCATTTTTGCAGTGCTATGCTCATTAATTGAATGAAGCTTTCTCTCATCCCTTTCTTGTTTGCATTATACTTGCTGTACAGTACTTTGAAAATTTGGCTAGAAAATGGAAGCTATTGATATACCTATTAACATTTTATTTGGGCATTATTTTATGAAGAAAGACAATGAAGGAAGTATCATTCATGCTTATATTTACTCCCGTGTCATGTGCTAACACTATGAGAGATTGTAAGCCAATATATTACAGTATATGCTGTACTGGCAACCATTATATAATGTGGCAGTTACGGTCCTGGCGAATGGCATGTTATCTAAAAATGTGCTATATAAACTGATTAATTCCGGGAAGGAGGGTTAGGTTCCCAGTCAAAACAAAGTTAAACATTACATTGATACTTTACCTGGCTTAAACTGTGTGAAGATTGGTGGTGGGTGAGGACGGGTGGGGGAGGGGGTGTATTTACCTAGGTGTAGCTAGAGGATAAGAGAGCTATGCTCATGGTTGTCCATCTTCTTGGTGTTGTGTCATGTGACGCTTTGAAGCTACAGTACTGATGGTTTTGACGTCCATCACTTTCTCACTTGTTCCAACCTTCTGCTGCCCTTTGCAAAAGAGAACTTTCTAATATTTTTTTGGACCCTTTGTTTTTTTTAGCTTGACTATAACCTCTTGTTCTTGAATTTCCAGGTTTCACAAATTTTGCTGTCAATTTTATCGATTCCCCTTTACTATTTTGTACATAGTGATCACATTGACTTTTTTTTTTTATCTTGTTGCCTTCTGGAATCAATTAAGTTTGAGTACCAAACTTCCACTGTGTACTCACTTAGTTGTACTCGCCTAGTTGTCCCTTGCAGGGGTTGAGCTCTGGTTCATCTCTTAACTGTCAATCAACTGGTGTACAGATTCCTGAGCCTACTGGGGTCTATCATATCTAAATTTGAAACTGAGTATGGAGTTTGCCTTCACCACATCACTGCCTAATTCATTCCATCTGTTAGCTACTGACACTGAAAAAGTTCTTTCTAATGTCCCTGTAGCTCATTTGGGTACTCAGTCTCCACCTGTGTCCCCTTGTTCGCTTACCACCCATGTTAAACAGTTTATCTTTATCTACCCTGTCATTACCTCTGAGAAATTTTATAGGTAGACTAAAAAAATTCTTTCTAATGTCATTGACTCATTTGGGCACTCATTTATGTATGTTTGTATACAAGGGTCCCGGTAGTACAGTTGGGTTTGTTCATAACTCGCAATCGAGAATTCAAGGTTCGAATCCTGGGTGGGACAGAAATGGTTGGGAGCATTTCTTATCCCCTAATGCCATAGTTCACCTAGCAGCAAATAGGTACCCAGGAGTTAGTCAGCTTATTGTGGGGTTGCATCCCGGGGGGTTTTAATTCGACCTTGGAGGAAGACCTCGATATAAGCCTAAAGTGTAAATATGCATTGGCTGCCTATTACCCAATACAATGAATTAATTATTATGAATTATAGATATATATATATATACTGTATATATTTTTACATTACGCTACAATAATTTTCCCGTACTGTGACGCTGCAGGAGGTGTCTTACTGTGAGCTGTTAGTACCATCTCGTAGTTTCTTCTGCAAGCCTCGACGTCAACAGTCTGAGCACATAGAGCTTAGTGATACCACTGACCGTTGCATGCATCCTGGGGTAGCTCGGTGCTTTAGCTACGAGCCTGCTACTCACAAGGCCACGGCACACTATGTCCCCCACTCCCCACATGGTCATGTTGAGAAAGGTAAGCAGAAAAATAATGCAGTGCTAGCATCATGAATGTGTAATTACTATGATTTAGTGATAGTACACATGATTTTGAAGTAGATAATTTTATAGTTAAACATAACACTTAAAATTTAACATTTTTATTTCAATTGATTTTTAGTTTAAAAAAAAAGTAGCCATTGAAAAGGACTTGAAAAGTAGCTACCTTATTGCGGTGTCCTTTCTCACAAGAAATTGCATCTAATAACCCAGGGTATTAAGTCAGTTTACCATCATTTTATTATAAAAGCTTAATGTGGGTCCCATTTTGCAACATTTGGTGGTATCCTTTTTTGGAGCGTTGTGTTGCATCTTTAATGGGCAGTTAAGCAATTTAATAATGATTAGTTACATAATTATGATTTGTGGATTCCTTAGTGCGTAACACTGTTCTCTTACCTTGCGGTGACATTGCGGTGATTCCGGTGGTCAAGACGCAGTCCTCCTTGCTGCTAAAAATTTTTGAGTTTAACTATTTACAATGTTTTTTTTTTAAATTAGTTTCCTTTGTTGTAGTTTCACTCTGATCATGACCAAATTGAAGTAATTGTAGGTGTAAATATGTTGACTCTAGGTTACGGTTGGTCGGTAAACTAAATAAAATTATAAACCCCGAAAGATAGATTGCAGATCACTGTTTTAATAAGGAAAGATACACAATAGAAGTTTGGTTCACAAATTGAAGGTGAAGTGGAGAAACTAAAGTGCAGCCCCCCCCCATTGATACAGTGCCACCAGTTTACATACCTTTGGCCATACATGTATTAGTATTGTGCCATCCTAAATGTGAAAGATGGTAGAATTTATGTACATATAACTTTTTGGGTCAGTACTGTTATGTTCTTATGAAGTGAATAATGGTGATGGGACAACCAGAGAGAGTTGGGGCATGGATGAAGATAGCACTGACCAGGAGGTTCGGTCAGAGACTGAGCCGCAGGGACATTGATCCCCGAAATTAACACAAGGTAATGCAAGGTAGACTGTAACGGCCACCCACATTATCTCACAGCTACTGTATGAATATTTACATATAATTAATCCATCTACACTATCATAAAGTATATTTTACATAGTAATTATATATATATGTACAGTATTTTACTTTGGTTTCTTTTGTATCACTTGTAAATAACATGATCTAATTTTAATTTGAGCCTCTGCATTTGCCATCAAAACCTTTTCCTGGCAACAGACTCCAAAATCTCTCTTGCTTTTTATGTCAAACAATGCTTGCACCATCACTAAATATCTCTGGCAGTTGTCTCATTCCTTTGCCATGATTCTTTTCTCAAGTAATTTTTTTGACCTCAATCATTTGGACATCTTGTGCACGCAACAAAAGATTTTTGTAGATGTAGGCACCTTCTCATTCGTTAATTGTTGCGTTCTATCAAGGTCTCGTCATATTTGTTACTACCGTATATTAATATACTCTACTGTATTTCTTTAATATATGCAGTATATTATATACAGTTACACAGAAAAATCACACTAACATGATGTATATAAATGAGAAAATGAACTTAGCTCTTAGGTGAGTGACATCTGTGAGGAGCATACTGCCAGCCGCACTACCACCATCAGGGTGGTACAGTGATAGAGGGTGTGATTAGCAGTACTCTAGTCATGGGTTTGAGTACACAAGAGCTCTTGTTGGTCTTATTATTATATACATAAATTGCGTGATGGGTTCATGGCGTACAAATGTTGTGAAGATAATTGTCAGAGCATTACTGAAAATATGCCATTTATTGTACTGTACATTAAATCATATTTCTTGTTGGTGTTTTAAAGTATTCATTGTTTTCACATAATAAACACTTACTTGCTCTTTATTATTAGTGAATTTGCTTGGATGGATTGATGGCATGCATAAATATTCGTAATGAATGTAACACGCGGGTTGTCACTGAAGTTATGCCACTTTGTGTACATTACTTCATTTTAAATTTTTCGGGTTTGCAACTGAAATATTTACGATTGGTTGCAAATCTGGCAAACTTTCTTTAAAGATTATTATGAGCTTTATATAACCACTGATTGGTCAAATATTATTTTACTGGATTTCAAATGCTGTTTCACCAGTTACACTTCACTCAGTATTATAAAATCCAAATTTCAAATTGACCTATTTGTTCTTATCTGTTAATTGTTTACACTTTTCGTCACCTCAAAGTTAGGAGCCTGGTGTTCTCTCGTTCATCTTGCTATTCTCTGTATGCTCCCAGCACCTAATTACTTCATGGGGATTCATCCAGTCTCAAATTTGTTCAACTTTATCAGAGATTTGGTTTTGGTAGTATCAGTTAAGAGGAAGGACTGTGTATTCGATTTATTTTTATTCTCATATAGGCCTTCTTGAAGTAAACAAATGTTTCAATTTTTTTTTTTTTTTATTATGGTATGGTATTTTCAGTTGAAGTGAAATGTACAAATATTTCTTGTATTGAAACATTTTAATGTATTCTACACTACTTTGTACTCCCCATCTGGCAAGTGTTAACCAAAGGGCATTACTGCCACTTGAGCCGTCGTTGTGTGAGTGCGTGTGTCAACCTAAAGGCTGATGTTGCAACAAGCCTTAGCAGTATCAGTTTTAAATTTGGTAGGCATCATTACTCTAATGAGCATGTGCATTGTGGCAGTTAAGGATAAGCAACATGGGAATTTCCTGCATCTTGTGCTACAGGGTTTGTCATTTTATTAGAGAAAATGCTTCAGAATTATGAAGAATTTTTTACATTTATTTATGCATTTATTTTGGTAAATTTTTGCATTTATTCTGTGGTAATTAACAAGTTTATTATAAACATACATAGTACATGCATCTATATATGCTGCATTGTATTTTAATATTCAGGGTCTGTATGTAAGTGAAATGACTCGTGACAGAACCACAACTGCAGAGTGGTTTCTTTCAGATACAGTAATAGCACATATCACACCAATTGCTAAATCTTTTATCGCAATTGGCATGTTGGAGATATCTGGAGTAAGTTGTGGATACTGTATTTGGCATTTATAATGTATATTGAGAACAAAATTTATTGTGGCACACCAATTTTTGATATGATACAATTACCACCTTTATTGCACAGCTGTTTGTTTCATGCAATACAGTACCATGTGTTTGCCCTTGCTATGGACAATCCACAGGCCTGTGATCTCTCGGCATCAATTATCAAACAAAATTTTATAATTAAAATAACCACTTTGTAATTGGTTATTTATATGTTCTGTACAGAGGCTTTCCAGCTTTTTGAATATCCATTATTCAAGAAAGTCCCACAATTCTGTGCTTATGTTTATGGTGTGATCAATATACCCGTGCAAAAGAGGAAGCAGTCCGCCAGGCTAAAGTTGACGAGTTTTGGCAGTAGTACAAGTATATGTGAAATGGGGGGAAAAAAAGGTACTGTGCCAACGGCACAAAGATAAAGTATTTCCATCAAGAAAAAGAAATGAATGTTATCAAGTGATGTGTATATAATGATGAGTGGTCGCTGATGTAGAAAGTGCAGAGAAATACTGTACAGTATGTCCAAATATGAACAGATTGTGAAGATTGTGTAGATTGCGTAATAAGTTCTTGAATGAGATTAATATTTTGTGTGGCCAGAACGGTACACTTTTTTTTATTTATTAGAGAAATCTTTTTTTCAGCAAAGTTGGGTCTTGGCAAAAAAAAAAAAGACTTATACCGCATATGATATATTGAATTTACCCACAGGGACAGCTAACAGATACAGAACATTCATAACTGTAGTTGAATGCTCTTTACATGAATAATACAAGTATAGTAAAAGGCATGTGAGACTTGCAATGTGGATCCATATTTCTTTCTGATACTGGCAGTTCTCTTCAAGTTGCATTCTGTAAAGTACAATTTTTAACCTTGGCAAAATATGGCAGTAAGGAAGCTTTCAGCTGCATTTTTCAGAAAGTGAAATTGGATGCCTGCATGAATACTTGTTTGTATCAAGTGTTTTATCAATGCAAAGGTATACACAACATGCAAAATTTTGCATTGTAATTTAGAAATATCATGAATAATATGCATGCATTTTCATTTTATTCTAATAAATACCAAGCTAAACAATTTATTATGTACTTTACTTCTTTTATCGACAAACGATGTTTTATTCAGTTTATATAATTCATGGAATTTATTCAATAATGCTGTTGTGCATTCTTATTTAATAAATATAAAGCAAGTGTATGCAAATACATGTGTAATATACCACAGTGATTCAACATGACAATCTATAACATGTTTGTTTCACAGAGCTTGTCCCTGATTCTGAGTCTCTATACCTTTGTCGGGTTAGACACACGGATGAGAGAGCTTTTCAGCGTTCATTTTTATCATCATTGAGTTTTGCTTTTGAAGGAACATTGACATTGTTATTTTCCTTTTTCATGTGTATGTGCATTTGTGCTTGCATTACTAAGTTCATATGCAATGTACATTGTTGTTTATAAAAGATACCTACATAGGCAGATTGTCATCATTTCTGGGTAGGTAAGTCTGCCTTTAAGCCTTGAACCAATTATTGCAGGTGCTGCGTGTGGCACCTCGGCCATTACTGGGAGCTTGACCCTATTGAGATCATTAGAGGCTGGGGAGCACATGATTAGAAAGGGTATCACAACCCATTCAATTTTTATTTTAATGTTTATTTTTTTTGTTTTTAGATCGAGTTAAAAGTTGTTTTAAGTGTGATTTTTTTATTTACAATGTGTTGTCTTCCTTCCTTTTCCTGGAGTATTATGTTTGCTTTAACTTCTGTAAACCTCAGAAGTTTGAATTCTCAGGCGTGCAAAATCAACAAATGACTTTAACATGCATTAAGATGTGAATGATACTGCTTATTTTTTCAATGAAGTAGATCAGTGGTAAAGAAAATGGTGAATAATTGAAAAGCTAACGTGACTTACATCATATTAATAAAACGAAAAAGGCTAGTACAATCTTGATTTTGTAAATGAAAATCAGTAGGGTTTAGTTTTTGAATATATTCAGGTCTTGCTTTTTGTTATGTGAAAGATTGTACTGTACTTATACAGGACTGAGCACTGCTCAGTATACAGGACTGAGTATACAGTATACAGGACTGAGCACTGCTGTGTGTACGGATGCATGTTATTTCTGAAGTATTTACAGAATGTGATCTACACTTGTGGTGTCCCATCTTCCTGTAGTCTCTTGTCATATAACACTGAAACTACCGATGGGTTTGGCAGCCACTACTTTCTCACTTAAATGTTTTCAACAGTCTGTAATTCTGTTCACAAATGAAAACTTGCGTGTATATTCTTTTGGCATCTTTGCTTAGCTTGAATCTATGGTGTCTTGTTCTTGAAGCTGCAGGTTTACAAAATTCTTCCCTGTTGAATTTGTCAATTCATATCACTATTTTACATGGGGTGATCATATCGCTTTGTTATTTTTTCCTACCATCTTCCAGGTTTGGTGTGTTTAACATCTCTCCTCATAGTTAATTTTTTTTATTTTTTGGAGTCATTTGGTAGCATATCTTTGCACCATTTCTAATTTATTTATGTGCTGCTTGAGATATGGGCATCACACAACTGCTCCATATTCCAGTTTTGGTGTCACAAATTGTGTGAACAGTTTCTTTTAATATTTCTCCACCCATATGTTTAAATGTGGTTCTGAAATTGTTTAGCATAGCATAGGTCCCTCTAATGACACCCTTTATGTGGTCCTTTGGTGATGGCTTACTATCTCCTACTAGATCTCTTTCCTGGCAGGAGGATTTTAGTATCTTTTCATAGTATCATTTGTAGGGTTAGCATGGCCTGTTCTGTCCCATCCCGCATTCCATAATTGACATGATTTACATTAAATTCCATCTACTGTATGTGTTACTCCACTCATTCTGTCTAGGTAATTTTGGAGGGGAATACAGTTATCTAAGTCCCTGACTCCCTAGCAATTTAGCATAAATTGCTAACATATTCATGTAACTCTGTATTCCTTCTAGTAGATCATTTATATAGATAATAAACATTACTGATGCAATAACTGTACTTTTCAGTACTTTGCTAGTGATATTTCTCAATTCAAATACATTGCTTCTGATCACTAATCATTGGTCTATTAAAAAATGGATCATTCAATTTAGGAATCTGCATGAGTGAAGTTCAGGTATATGCAATCAGCCCTACCTTCTCTTTCTTTGAATATTTTTGTGGCTCTTTCGCAAAAATCAAGTACAGTACATTACAATAGTTTTGTTATGCAAGGTCTTCCTGCTTGAAATTCAAATCATGTCCATTATGATGTCTACTTTCTAGGCAGTGTCCATTTAACTTGAATTATTTTTTCTAGTATTTATTACCACACTTGTCAGTGATACAGATGTATTATGTATGCATGCTTGTCCTTGGTGCCTTTTTCCAAAGCCAGACATTCTTGGGTTATTCGTCAAGTGGTTTGGTACAGCTAGTTCAATGCGTACAGTATTTGCATACACGTAATGTTTCATAAGTATTGTATGCTGCTATTACTGCCTTCCTTTGGTAATATGCCTACGGCTAATATTCGGACTTAGAGCTCTTAGCAATCCAAGTGGATGTGGGCTAGTTGTTGGATGTCCTCGTCCTCTATTGGCCTGTGTGGCTCTTGGGTGTTTATCATCTTTCCCCAGACATTGAGTTTTAGCCTTCTCATAACATAGTTTAGCCTTCTATCTTTATTCCTTTATTTATCTGTTTATTTTAGCCGAAAGAAGGCTTCTACTCAGAGGCTCTGATGGAAGTATTGTATGAGCCGGGGAGTTACCGAGTGCAAGTCCAGAAATTAAGGATCGAATATAACGGAACACCCTTTTCAGGGCAGTGTCGGTAGCTCCCCATGCCTGTCCTCCTCCTGCCTTTTTTTTCTGTGGGGACTGGGCATTTTTTAGGCTACACATAAGTGAAGTGGCAAGTAGACTGGAGCTTAGGGTGAACTGAGCTGCCACCTAGTGGTTCCCCTAGGCTACTAGCATGTTTGTTGACAATAAACAAACTATAGCTTCCCTTGGTTCCATTTTTACTTTTTAATCAAAATATGTAGTTTGTTTTGTACTTTCTGGGCAGTTTTTCTTGTTTTTGGACTAATCTTAGATTCCCATGTGTGCCCTCACCTTCAGGAGCACATCAGATCTGGTTCTGTTGTTTGATGGGTTTTTGCACGTCCAGAGGCCTCGTTGTTTTATATGTATGATGTCTGAGCCAAAGTACACGAGGCTACTCAAAAAGGGGATATTTCATTCCATTAAATGCTTAATTTTTATTTTTACAGCATTATGCTGTAGAGTATTTATTATGAGGGGGTAGCTCTGCTGTTAAATTTTGATGTAAATTCAAGTTTTTATTGTAAAATTATAAAGGTTTAAAATCGAAATGTTCATGTCAAAGTAACTAACTAGAGATCCTAAGAAATATAATCTACATTCTGAGCATTGAGAAACCCAAGTCAAGCAATTTCACAATTCTGTCCAATTATGTTAATGTTTTAGCACTTAAATGGGCAATTTGTGTAAGAAAAATATGCCCTTTGCAGTCCAAATTGTATTGTTCTATTTATAGTCATACATCTAGTAGAATGTTATGATTTTTTTTTTACAGATAAAAAATTTCTATACCAACTATCCCTTTACATAAATTCTCTTGATAAACTTTTGCGAATTTGACTCCTTGAATCATGGTACATGTTCTGTATAGTATAGACATCCTGAGTGATAACTCTAAAGTTCTGAGTACTTATGTCGTGCTACACAGCAATACTATCTTTGTGCTTTCTTTCCATAATTGCTTGCTTAATACCTGAATTGTTCTTATTTTTGTAATTGCTTTTATTTCATTAGTAGATGCTGAATAGATTGTCACAAAATAAAACAAGAGTTCATTGAGATGCAGCTGTTCATTTTCTGAATTTCGTTGTGGATATTATTTAAATTGATCGAAATGTGGCAAAAATATGTCGTAGATGCTTGAAAATCTTTGTAGGTTGTCTTAGAACCATGGCTGTTTAAATGGACAAACTAGCATAAAAAGCAATTTTGGTACAAAGCAGTTTTTGGTAATTTATCCAGCTTTTAGATTATAGGATTTGAAATTAATATTATAAGCACATTTAGATGCTGAAAGACTTTCCCTTGATATTTTAGTTAAAACTCATTAATTCATAAGTTGGTAATCATGGAACCACAGAATTGGTTAATTGCCAATGTGTTTGCCTTGTAAGGAGGGGTGTTAATTCAGAATATTATCTTAGATTGGTAATAAATGTTGGTTTACCTTGGTAAGGTTAATTATAATTAGATCAGGCAGTCGCAAGCTTCTAGTATTAGAGTATACAGCATTGTTTACTTGGTCTAAAAGTGATAACACTAAGTAACAGTCTGTGCTTCTCCAGGTCAGTGATTTTTGTACTTTTTTCAGGTCATATGCACATGTTTCATTTATAGGTTCTCTCTCCTGTAACGAAATTGTACTGTGCTCCATGGGACAATATTATATGTATTGTCAATGTATCATTGACCTATTTTTATATCTTGTCGGCTTCAAGGGGGGGATTTTTGTGGGATGTGTGGTCTTGGTGTTTTTACTGGGCTGTGGCACCCTGGTACTTTTCCTGGGGTGTGGCACCTTGGTGTTTTTTGCCTGGTCCCATGGTCCTAGTGTTTTTTTTCCCTGACTGCGTGGTCCTGCAGTTTTTCTAGGATACATGGCTCTGTTGTTTGCCTGGGCTGTGTGGCCCTGTGATTTTTCCCTGGACGGCCCTGTGATTTTCATGTGGTGCTTGATCATGTGGTTTTCCCGGGGTGCATGGCCCTGCAGTTTTCTAGTGTGCATGGCTCTGTAATGTCTCTCAGGCTGCATGGCCCTGCAGTTTTCTGGGGTGCATGGTCCTGCAATTTCTCTCGGTCTGCATTGACTAGATGGTTTTTGTTGAACTGTGCAGCCGGAGATCTTCCGATGGCTTCCTCAGTTCCTGTGACTTTGGGTCCTGGGTTTTGAAACTTCTCAGGAAGGGTTTTCCTGCTTGTTGGTTACTATGGTGTCAGCTTTGTACTCACCTAGTTGTACTTGTGGGGGGCTGAGCTTTGGCTCTTTGGCCCTGCCTCTCAACTGTCAATCAACTGGTGTACAGGTTCCTTCTTATCATCTCTACATTGAAACTGTGTATAGAGTCTGCATCCACCATATCGCTTCCTATTGAACTCCATTTGTTAACTACACTTGACACTGAACAAATTCTTTCTAAAACCTCTGGCTTGTCTCAGTACCGAGTTTCCACCTGTTTACCCTTGTTCGTGTTCCTCACATGTTAAATAGTTTGTCTTTATTTACCCTCTCAATTCCTCTGAAAGTTTTGTAGGTGGAGTTCATGTCTTCCCCCACCTCTTTTGTCTTCCATGGACATTGGGTTTTAATTCCTCTAGCCTTTCCTTGTAAGTCACACCTCTCTGCTCTGGGACTTTGTCTGGTGGCATAACTTTGGATCTTATCTAACTTTGTCTTGTTTTTAACTTGGTATGGACTAGTTAAGTACAAGGTTCTGAATGATACCTTATAAAAGTTTCCAAACTAAATTTTTATGTTGGCCAGTGTAGCATATGCTACTAATGATATCCTCTTGATGTGGGGTTCTGCAAACAAGTTTGGTGTGATATCAACCCCCTGATCTTTCTCTACTCAATTCTTGAAGGATTTTATCTCTCAGATGGGACTTTGTGTTTGGCCTCCTGCTCCGTTCACCTATTTTCCTCACTTGACACTTACTGTAGTTAAACTCTAGGAGCCATTTGTTAGACCATTCCTTTAGTTTGTCCAGGTTGTCTTGTAATTACAGTACTATCTATCTCCCTCTGTCTTTATCCTCATAATTTTAGCATTAACAAACATTGTGAGGAATGATGAGTCTGTTCCTTCTGGAAGAGCGTTTACATATATCACAAAAAGAATGGCTCATAGTAAATAGCCCTTTGGTTATCGTTGTATTGCCCCTATATATATATATGCCGCTTGGCCAATTAGCTGATGTTCTGCTTCCTGACCCCTCTACCCCGCCTTTTTCCATGGGGTAAACCCTCTCCATCTTTTCTCTTTCTCGTTGTTTTGTTTTTGATTTTAGTAAAGTTGGTCGCCTCCCCCAACACACCGATGGGGGGGTTAACTAGGTAAGCTAATGAGGAGGCACTCTAGTAATCAATCATTTAGTGTAATGAAACTCATCAGGTGGACCACTCGGCAGCTTTTTTCTTCGAAGAGGAGGAAGGGTGTTCTATTCGTGCGGCTCGTGTATGTGGTGACTTGCTGGCAAGCTGGCACGAACCCTGAGTATCCAGGCTGCTATTTTACAGTGATCAAATGCATCAGTTTTCTTCAGGGTTGCTTGTTATTTCAAGCACTTGCTTGTATGGATGCAGTTTTGCTTTCTGGTGGGTTTTTCTTCTCCTCAGATTTAGCTTGATCACTGATCCCTAAATTTTCCTTTGCCTCAGGCAGGGCCAAATTCTGGTTCAGACCTCGGGAAAGCTCAAGTGGGTCTCGGAAGCCTGGTGTGATTTCCTAATTTTTGTTAGCGTTCTAGTTCTTTAGCTACAGAGCTACTGTGAGGAGCCAAACAGAAAAGGTGATTTCATTACATATAACTTTTGATTTTTTACTTCTTAACTTCAGTAAATCTTTAATATACTGTACCTGTACAGTACTTAAAGTGACAACAAACTGTGCCTGTGATGCTCTCGTCTTTAAGTAGAAGAATAGTACACGTAAAATTCCTTGGATAAATAAGTATAACATATGATGTGTTAGAGTACAGTATATCTACTTCATTGCACTTTAGAATTAGTCAAGATGTGCTTCAGTTCGAAAAAAACTAGAAAGATTTCATGTTGGCAGCCTTAGAGAACTCAAGTCTTCTGAATGCTAAGAAACTTGCATTACATTACTGCATGTAGCTGGAGCATTATTTGTCTACTTTAAACAACACTTTCTTACCATTAACTTTCAGGACAGGAAAATGCGCTTACTCGCCCTCTCTCTTTTTCTCTTTAACTACCTAAATATATGACAAGGCTGTTAATACTTTATTTTTCTTTGGGTACCTTATTCTGTCTTCTTTAATAAGGCAGTACAGTATTTTTGTGTTGAATATTTATATATAATTTTATTTTATTACTTTTATAATTGTTTAGTTTTATTTGTTGTAATTCTCGTTGGTATTGATTCACATGGTATGACTGGACACAAGAAATGTGTGTGTGTGTGTGTGTGTGTGTGTTCATCTCGTATACTGGCACTAGACCTCCAAGCACTCTTGTAGTCACACTATCAAAAGTACTATTATTTCTTAGCATTGGTATTTATACACATCTTGCTCTCATGTAGGCTCTTTCTTGAAAAGTATTATTGAATGTGACCAGGCACTTTGTTTTCAACCCTTTGTAAATCTGTATATATAGACATTAATTGATTAATTGGCTGTTGGATAATGCTTTTTATATTCTTACAATTAAGCTTGAAGTTAGCTTTAAAATCTAATTTTTTTCCATATTTCAATGGGAAATCAAGATATTTAAGGTAAAGTTATTTTCAACATTAACAAATATACATTCTTGTGTTTGATCTATAACAAAAAAACTAATCTAGTACTTAATAATTTTTTTTAACTGTTTTTAATTCATATAAACTGTTTTATGAGTAATTTGCACTGAAATCCTAAAGTTGTTATAGTAACTTACTTATTTGTAGCATTGTTAGTAACAAGTTGTAATGTTTCCTGCAGGCAGTGGATATGAATTAGATGACTGGCGTTGCATTCCAAGTGTTCATGCAGCAAGTATGCAGTATATGCCCAATATGTTGGATGACCCTGAACTACGTGCTGGCAAACATCGCAAATTGTTGCGCTTTCCTTCATATATGGTAATTTTGACGTTGTTTGGCACATTTTATGCCACAACTTGGAGGCTGGGGGGAGCACTGTTCATCTAGTCGGTTATACTGTAATTGATTTGATGTTCTGTGACACTGCTGGTTTTTTGTGCTTCATTTTTAGTGTGTGGTTTGGTTTGGTGAATGGATGGGTGTCTTTTGAGTGCATGAAAATATAGGATAATGAAAGGGTTCCACTGCAGTTATAAATCAGTTTCTATACTTTGGAAAACCACACAACAACTTGTGAATTTGATGAGCCTTATTATTCATTATACATTTTACCGTATACATTTTATTTTTATTGACACTTATAAATTTTGTTTAATTATATTGTATTTATATATACTGTATATTTCTGTTAACCATTATGTTGATTAAAAGTTAAATGAAACTTTTCAGGGGAATTATTTTATTTCTATTTTGGAATGCTGTTATTTTAGATTAATACAGTATTCTTCAGAATACCTTGTGGAACCTTCTGTTCCATTATAACCACCTATCCCACAGGTGTCACTGTATCACTGGAAGTCACTGTATAGGCCACATCTACACTTTTTCCCAGAGGAGCCATTTTTTAATAATTTCATAGCAGTCATACTAACATTATTGGTAATGATGTCAGTATAAAATTTTAGATAGGGATTTATTTTTTATATCCATTCAAGTTTAACATAATAATCTATTAATTTAGTTTTTAACTACTGTACTGTAGACTGAAGATGCCCTTATTTAATTAGTGATATTTGTACAGGAGAAATTAAATATTAAACTATTAAATGTTTTTGTTTCAGACCTCTGTCATGGACTATACCAAACCGTCAGAATTGAAAAAGGAATTAAATGATAAGTTTCGTAGTAAATTTCCACACATACAGCTGACCCTTAGTAAACTGCGCAGGTAAGGTTTTCTACCATTTATATATTTAACTGTTATTTAAGATATTTGTTCACTAATAACATGCAATCTATCTATATCTATATATCTATATCTATCTATCATGTAAATTGGGTACTGCTTGTTTGGACTAGAAAAATGTATGTAAAAAGAATGAAATCAATATGTATCTACAATACTTTACTAGTGCACATAACTACATTCCTTGAAGGGAGATACAAACAGAAGTACAGTACTGTATTGCTGGAGGATTATTTAATTACCCATGTTGTGATCAGCATTACCAAGTTAGGACATATTAGCAGTGCTTGAAAAGTCAACCTGTCCTCACTCTTAATCCCTGGACTGTGCCACTAACCGTGTATGTGTATGCACACCCGGGTGTGCTCACAACTAGGTGAGTACACTGCAACCTCTGAAAGCTAGATTATATTGTTCAGGACTCGCTCCCAACTTCTGAATATTTACATCTTTCTAATGGGAGACCCATGGTAGCTCCCATTAGCTCCCCTGAAGCTGTCTCGTCAAGATGGCTTCCCCACTACAGTTACTCCCACCTTTGGCTACTTCCACCTTTACCTGGCTACTCCCACCTCTACCTGGCTACTGGTTTCTGGAATTTGGATACTGAGCTTTTACAGTATTTGCAATTATAAAACCACATGTAGCAAAAATAAGAAGGAAAACGATAGATAAATATAATGCTGGTAAGGGGACTTTCAACGGTGATTACTAATTAATGCCAATCAAGGAAATACATGTCCATTTTGCATAGATACTGTCTTCAAATGTTTCTTGGCAAGATGCCTTGCATATATTGGGTTTTGAGACTTTACCATTTGAGTTATTTTAGGTCAGTACAAGGGTGAGGAACCCCTTGAGTGATCTAAGCTACCATCTGTGGTACGTTTAGTACATAGACGTCGGATAAAGTACTGCTTTCCTCGTTTCCATCTTTTCCTTCTTTCATAAGGGCGTGCAATTTGTTTTGCTTTTCCAGTACTTTGTAGACCATGCACTTCTGGTATGTGAGGTTCATATTTGAACCCCATCCTGCCCTTACACCTGAGTCTAGTTCTGGGGTTGGTTCGGCCTGTGTGGGAGTCTAGAGGTTTGGTAGTTTTGTGGATGTGTGGTATCAGAGCCAATGCATCGAGGGGTGCTCTTTTTAGCTCCCTTCTCTTTTTAATTTCTTACAATTCTTTCTCCAGTTCCACTTTAGAGAAGACTTGCGTTTGATATGTTTGTCTTATAGTATGGGTGATGCCATTGAGTGTGAATTTTCAACCTGTATCCATTGTATTCATTACTCATTATACTATTTGTACTCATTAAATCTATGTTCCATAATTATTTTTTTTTGTGCCATTTCAGTATAAAGCGAGAAATGTTGAAAATTGCCCGCCAAGAATGCGACATAGATTTACTGACAGTAGCGCAAGCTTATGTTTACTTTGAGAGGTTAATCCTCAAAACAATTGTTAATAAGCAGAATCGTAAGCTTATAGCAGGAGCCTGTCTCATTCTGTCTGCCAAGATGAATGATGTGAAGGGTGAAGCACTAAGCACTCTAATAGAGGTAAGTAATCAGCATTAAAAAGAATCTTTACATGAAACTGACAATCTCAGTTTCTGGCTCATAATCTGCATTAATTATTGTTTTGTATAATTCCTGTGGAATTTTATTTTAGTGATGCTTATCATTTTTTGTGTAAATCTATACTCATTTGAATTCAATGAAGTTGGGTAAAACTTAGAGATTTGCTGGATGTTTCTGGTAAACTTGGAATCATTCTTAAGTTAAATGGCATGCTTAACTATTGTTGATGGTTTCCTATTATCATAGCTGGTTAGTGATGTAAATTTGTCCAGGAAATGTCAGGTGACAGTCATTATGCCACTGAATTAATACTCGTTTGAGTCAGTAGTTCCCATACATTGAAATCACAGCAGCTTAATGTATCTTTAAAGTTATTGAAGCATCCAATGGGATATGATTCACATCCATGTATTACCCAGGCATGTGTACTACTGACTGAATCAAGGTGACAAAAAAAAAAAAGTACCATGACCAGGGAGCCGGCAGCTGAGCAGACAGAACACTGGACGCGTGATCCTGTAGTCCCGGGTTCGATCCCGGGTGCCGGCGAGAAACAATGAGCAGGGTTTCTTTCATCCTGATGCTCCTGTTACCTAGCAGTAAATAGGTACCTGGGAGTTAGCCAGCTGTCACGGGCTGCTTTCTGGGGGTAGAGGCCTGGTCGAGGACCGGGCCGCGGGAACACTAAAGCCCCGAAATCATCTCAAGATAACCTCAAGATAAGATAACCAGAAGTACTTTTACATGAAGTTTGAAAGGTGGCACCATCAAAATAAAAGCACAAATAAACGTCAGAGTAACAAGTGGCAGCGACGGGCAAATTGCTGTTGTTGTTTTCCTTGACATCACGTGTCGTATCCTTGCCTTTAAAAAGCATATATGAAGATATGTCATACTTTTTTGTTGTTGTAATTCTGTACTGATTGTTATTGAACTCTGTGCTTCACTAAGTATTTTTGTCATTTATTTGATTTATATACAGGATATGTATTTTTTATTTTCAGAAAACGGAGAGTACCTTTCGCCTAAATCGCCGTGAGTTAACTCAGTGGGAGTTTGCGGCCTTGGTTGCCTTGGAGTTTGGCCTACACTTGCCAACGTGGCAGGTTAATCCTCATTACCAAAGGCTTCTATTTGAATCGTGACGAAAACATGGCACAGGAAACCCTGCGGTTACTGTTTGAAATGTTGATATGTGAATACATTTTCTGTTTTAATATTAACCTTTAGGCAGTGTTTTAAAGTAAGTTATCCCATTTCATTTTATAATCATTGGACCATGTATACCCTTTACTTGCTAATGTTGGCACTCGCCAATGTAACACAATACACTGTTAGGTTTTCACATTAAATCCTGTAAAACAAGGTTTCATTGTCTTGAAGGTTTCATCATAAATTTTATCTAAAACACTGCTGGCTCTTGATACATTTTTAATTTATACATAAATGGGTTTGTATGTCAGACGTGTGCATTTGTGTACACTTTTTTTTATGCCGCATTTTTTTGTTTTGTTTACAACAGTGCAAATTTCAGTGTTATGTAAATAAAATTTAGAATGTAAGGTTGCAGTGAATTGTACTTATTATACATTGGATATTTTGATTACATTTCAATGCATGAAAGTTTTATATCATAGTATAGTGATTATTTATTTAAAAAATTATTGATACTCTACTAGAACATTGTAATCTTGAAGTATTAATCATTTCATTATATTATGGCATAAACTAGTGAATATAATGAGCCAGTATCTCTCTCTCTCTTGATAATGTCAGGGAATGAGGATGAAATCTCAGATGGTATATTATTTATCGGCTATGTGCAGTTAACACATTTTTGTGAGAGTTAGAGTATGTGGTGTGCTTACGCAGCTCTTTAGCTGAAGATTGTTCTTAACGGTCAGGAAAATTTTGTTGTATTTGTACTGCTTAAACATTCCTAAATATTCTTGACAGACAAATTATTAGGAATTAAAGTAACACACACTTCACATCAGCTTAATATGTATATATATGTATGTGTGTATATATATATATATATAAATATATATATATATATATATAATATTGATAGCGAAGGATTGACAGACATTTTAGTTTTTTATTACTCATGAATTCATACCTCAGAGTATTAATGTTTGTTCTTATTTGTGTTGAATTCATTTTCTGAAGACATTTTATTGCTTTTCATGCAATATGAGCAGAAGGAAGGGGCAATGTTCTTTTTATCTTTAATTACAATTATAGGCCTAGACTTATTTCATTCCTCATGTAACATTGCTTAACAAATACAGAACACTAATAGCAGTTGATTATGCTGAAGAATTGAATAAAATAGAATCAACTTGATAATGGGTTTAGTCATATTTACTAACAAATCCACAAGAGCAGTGATGAGCAGTTTTGTAAAAAAAAAAAAATTTTATCCGATTATTATGCGAGTAGTTTTAAAATGCTCGCCTTTAGATTGTTAACAATTTGATACCAAAATGAACGACGTAGCTCGAAAATTAACGACAGAACACTGGAAAGAGTACGTATGTTAATGTGGGGTGCACGCTACCAGGAAACGCCAGGCCCATCTTTGGGTGGGTTGGGTGCGCAAAAGTGTTAAGTGGATATCAAGGAAACACTTAGCCAAGACATTATTAATAGAACTGTAGTACTTGCAATGAGGAAATACTTTACTAATGACAAATTCTGTGCAGTATTCCTCTAGCATCTGTCACAAAGTAGTGCTAGGCTAGACTGCTCTATATACGAAGGTCGGAGGACAAGGGTGTGATGTGAAGATGCAGGGCGTGAACAAGTCGGTGGGTGGTACACCTACTCGGGAACCTCATTATTGTAAGAACTGAGGTTTTTATGATATCTTGAGTCTTACAACTAATATACCCCCTCCCCGCTCAGCTCGTTGTCGCCGTGTGGGGGCTTGGTGGGCGGCTGCCGGAGTGTGATGCTCCTTGGGACAGTCCTGTCCTTTTCTAGCCTTGTGCTCCTGCTGCCGTCCTCTCCAATTCTGCTGGGCATCTTTTCCTTTTCCTTCTGTTTCGTTTTTCTCCCCCCTCTTCTCCTATCTGCTTGCCGTTTCCTGCCGACCTTTTGCTCGTTCTGGTTCTTCCCTTGGACTTCTTCTATTTTGACGCCCGGGTGCTTGAGGAGGCATACTCTTGCACCCGTAGAACTGCAGTACCCGACGTCGAGAGCGAGGGGAACCTTTTATTGTCAATCCCCACTTCGTCACTGAACCCGATCTCGACGGACTGTCGGTTTCTTAAGGTGGCGTTTGTGGGGCGTATACTCACGACGCACCCCTAGGAGGCCCCGACAAGATCGGCGATAGCTTCTTGTTGGGTGTCCTGCCTCTAATTGTGGCTCCATGGTGGGTGTGGGGGCACATTCGTGAGTGAATTCTTCTTTCGTCAAGATGATTACCCCTGCTTCGGCTTCTTCTGGTTTACCTTCTCAGGCTCGTGGGGTGGGCGACCAAGCCCCCGAGTCGGTCCGTATTGGAAGACCGGGCTCTGTAGCCTCCGCTGCATTGGGCCCCGACCTTGCTCCTCCTTTGGCCTCTCTGACTCCTTCCCCTGGCTCCCCTCCCTCCTCTGTGGTTGGGTCGAGCCCCAAGCCCCCAGTGGTGACTACCTCGTCCCCTGGCGCGGCTCCTTCTCTCGTTGTTACTACTGCGCCTTTTAACCCCTCTCTCTCTGGGGGTTCTCACCGCCGTTCTCGTCACGGCCGCCCTCGCTCGATTCCTTCCAGTTCTGCTACCTATCAAGCCTTGTTTGGTCCCGCTTCGTGGGCCAAATATTTTGATCTCCTCCCTCTTGATTCTGCGCCTCCTGACGATTTCTCCCTTCATCGACATCTCATTGATTCCGTGGATGCCTCCATTACTTTTAACCCCACTCGTCTCGGTACGCGTGTCGTTGCTGCTCCTTCTCAGGATGCTGCTTCCCGCTTGGCTGCCTTATCCTGCCTTGGCGAGACCCCCGTTCGGGTCTCGAAGAACGTCCAGTTGAATGCCAGTGTTGGCACTATTTTGCTCCCGCCCCATGTTGCGACCGGTGTTCGGGACCTACGCGACTGCCACGACGATATTCGACATATCCTCGCTGCCCAGGGCCATTCTATTCTCCAGGTGGACACGTTTACTCGTCCCCCTCGTGGTAGTCGCCGTCAACCCCTCCGGGTTGTGAAGATTACCTTTGATGGTAGGACCCTTCCACCCTCTGTCATTCTTGCTGGTGCCAGGTGCTCTGTCCAGGAGTACATTCCTTCTCCTCGGCTCTGCAACAAGTGCTGGAGGTTTGGGCATGGTGCCCTCCGCTGCTCCGGGACTGTCTCTCTCTGTCCTTTGTGTGGTGGCGAAGGTCACTCTAAGTCGGAGTGCGCTTCTCCCCAGGCTCGTTGCCTCAACTGCGGTGAGGCCCATCCTACCTTCTCCCGTGCGTGTGTCCATTACAAGCTTGAGGCAGCCGTCCTCAACTTGAAGCACCGGGAGCGTTTATCTTTTCCTGAGGCGAGGCGCCAGGTTCGCCGGCTCCCGCCTTATGCTAATATCTCTTATGCTCGCGTGTTGCGCTCTTCCTCTCCTCGTCCTTCCCGCCTTCCTCAGACTCACAACCGTTTCCAGGCCTTGGACCCTGATGCGCCCACTGCCCCCTCCTCTGTCCCTTTGGGTTCTCTCCCGAAGGATCCTCCTCCTGGTCCTCTGTCTGGGGTTCCCCTTCCTTCTACCCGGTCTGTCGTGTCTTCTGTGTCTCCTTCCTCGTCCCCCTCCGATCCTCCTTCCCATCCTCTTCCTCCATCTATCGGCTCTCCCCGCCGCCTGTCGGTGCGGGCGGATGTCCATCGCTCTCCTAACGGCCGTCGTGTGTGCTCTCGTTCGGCTTCTCCTGTTGAGACACTGGAATCCGTTGCCCGGTACGTAGTTGCTGGGACACCGGTCCCTTTAAGTCAGAAGCGTAAGCCTGGCTCCTCTCCTTCCTCTTCCCCGGCGGGTAAGAAGGCTTCGCTTTCTTCCTCAGCTCCTCCTTCTGGCTCTGTTGCTCCTTCCACTCCCGTTTCAGTGCTTGCGCCCCCTGTTCCTGCTATGGAGGTTTCTTTGGCCCCTGCTTCCCTTTCGGTTGCTGCTCTTGCTGGGGTGCTCTCCTCTCTTTCTACTCCCCCTCTTCCTGCTGCTGTCCTTGACTGCTCCTCTCCGTTGTCTCCTCCTCCTCCTCCTCCTCCTCCTCCGGACCCTGCCCGCCCACCTCTGATCTGTTCTCCCGTTTCCTTCCCTCCGTCTTTGCTCAGTTTACCCATGCCCCCTAACCCTGACTTTGCTGACCCTGATCCCGACCCTGATATTCTTTAACGTGCTCTGTTGGTCTTTCGCCTTTGTTTCTTCCTTGTTCTCTGTTTTTGTCCTTTCTCTTCTCGTCGTTGTCCATTCTTCAATGGAACGTTCGAGGTTATTACGCCAATTTCCTCGAACTCCAACTTCTGGTTTCGCGGTTTTCGCCCCTTTGTGTCTGTCTCCAGGAGCCGATGCTTGGTGCTCGTCCTGGTCGTTTTCGTGGCTATTCCTTTCTCTCCCCCCCCCCAGCCATTGCTGGGGCTTCTAATTCTTCTGCTCTCTTGATTCGGGCTGATGTTCCCTTTGTTCCTTTACTTTTTCCTTCGCCTCTCCATTGTTCTGCTGCTCGTATCTTTGTGGGGAAATGGTACACAGTTTGTTCCATTTATCTCCCCCCGAGTGTCCCGCTCTCTCTTCCTGATTTGAAACACCTCCTAGACTCCTTGCCGGAGCCTGTGCTCCTGCTGGGTGACTTCAATTGTCGTCATTCTCTTTGGGGTGACGTTCTGACGAATACCCGGGGTCGCCTCCTTGAGCCGTTTCTCCTCTCTTCTTCCCTGTCTCTTCTGAATTCTGGTGAGCCCACTCATTTGGACTCTCGAACTCGCACCCTTTCTTGTCTTGATCTTTCTCTCTGCTCTTCTTCTCTTTACTTAGATTTCACATGGCAGGTTCTTGATGACCTCCATGGAAGTGATCATTTCCCCATCCTTGTTTCCTTTTTCTCTTTTCGCCCTTCCCTCTCTTTCCCTAGATGGCAGTTTGCTAAGGCGGACTGGACCCTGTTTTCCCTCAGTGCTACTCTCTCTGACCTCTCCCTTCTGCCCCTCTCTCGCGCTCTCCTCCTTTTTCATGACACTGTCTTCGACGCTGCCCTCCGCTCTATTCCTCGCTCTTCCTCTCGGGGTCCACGGAAGTGCGTTCCCTGGTGGAATGCGGACTGTGCTCGGGCTGTCCGCTGTAAGCGTGCAGCCTGGAAGAAGCACCGCCGTAGGCAGACGACCGATTCTTTTCTTTTCTTTCGGAAAGCGAGTGCGGTGGCCCGTAGGGCCATCCGTACGGCTAAACGTGAATGTTGGGCTTCTTATGTCTCGACAATTACGTCCGAAACCCCTCTGGCCCAGATCTGGAAGCGTATCCGCAAGATAGCGGGTAAGTTCGTTCCCGATGTTTCACCGGTCCTTCACCTCCATGATACTCTTGTGGCGGACCCGTTGCAGGTCGCTTCCGAACTGGGTTCCCACTTTTCTTCTGTTAGCTCTGGTCTTCATCTTCCCCAATCTTTCCTTCTTCGTAAACCTGTCCTTGAGTCTCGTCCTTTAGATTTCTGCACTCATCTTCAGCTTCCCTATAATGATCCCTTCTCTCTCTCTGAACTTCGTTCTGCCCTGGCCCTCTGCGGTTCTACGGCGGCGGGCTCCGATGGTATTCATTATGAGATGCTTCGCCATCTCCCTCCGAGCACGTCTCAGTATTTACTGAGTCTGTATAATCGGATCTGGGAGTCGTCGTCAGTCCCTGAGGACTGGCTCGATGCCGTTGTCCTCCCTGTTCGCAAACCAGGGTCTCTGGGTACTTCCCCTAAGGACTTTCGCCCTATTGCTCTCACAAGTTGTGTCTGCAAACTCTTTGAACGTATGGTTAACGTTCGTCTGATGTGGTTCCTGGAACACCATCACCTCCTCTCCCCTTCTCAATTTGGTTTCCGCAAGTGCCGCAGCACGACAGATGTCCTGGTGAACTTGGAGGTCTATATACGTACTGCTTTTGCTGCGAAGACCTCCGTTGTTGCCGTCCTTTTTGACCTAGAAAAGGCTTACGACACCACTTGGCGTTATCATATCCTATCTCAACTTCATTCTTTTGGCCTTCGTGGTCATCTCCCTCTCTTTCTCCGCAGCTTCCTCTCTCGTCGTTCCTTTCGGGTGCGCCTTGGTACCGCTCTCTCTCCCCCTTTTCAGCAATACGAAGGTGTGCCCCAGGGTAGTGTTCTGAGCACTACTCTTTTTCTGGTTGCCCTCAATGGTCTTCTTTCCTCTCTTCCTTCTGGTGTCTTCTCCGCT